ATCATCCGCCGCCTTACCTCATCAAAAGGGACATCACAACCTGTTGGAGCTGCCATCATGAAAAGGGCTGGAACACTGACTAAAATGTTTTAACTGATGGAGGAATAATCACACGCAGCCATCGGTTTCGTTTGACCGGCATGCACACATAGCTGGAACTGGGGCAAGCAGTCATTTATTAATTTGCGACACCTGCTACCTGTTTACCACGCTCCCTCTCCAGACAACCTGGTCAGTGTAAGAGCACATTCAAGATCAACAGTATTCAACACACTTTTAATTGTTTTTATGCATAGGTGAAGACAGACCTGAGGAACAGGCTGCAGGGGGACCATCTGGCTGCATGCATGCTACTCAGCATCAATGGGCCACCTCTGACCAAGTTTCAATACAACAGAGCCTTACGCCACGGACACACCGGACGCGGAACCGAAGCGCAGCGCCCAGCCGCGGAGGCAGTTTTCAATCGCCGCCCATTAACCTATCTGACTGTCCACACAGGCCGCTGAGCGGAGGCTCGCTAGCGTTGCCAGGTAGGAAATGTAGGATTATCGTACCAGAGACTCAAAATTATCGTATTTTGAGGGAAATTATGGTACATCCGTCATAACCAAAATAACAATCCTACTGATGCGCTATAGTACTTTTATCTTAGTGAGGAGGTGTGGTTGACTCTGTTGCTAGATGTGATGCATTCTTTTAACAGATGAGATTGGTTGTCACAGACACACCCCTTTGTGAGCTTGCCTTGCAAGGTGTGGACACCCAGTGGAAATGAACTGCATCACAATATGAGACTGGAAGGTTGATGTTATGGTTTGAGTTTTTGATGGATGTTTTGTGGCTGCTCTTGTGTTGTGATTTCTTTTTTGTTTTCCTGTCCTTCCATGACCTGCAGGGCTGGTGTGTGGCGGAGGCGGGGCTGACCTAGGCGGTGAGGCACACCTGGTTTCCATTTCACCTCATCTACCTCACTATAAAGCCGGCTCTGACTTCACTTCGTTGCCAGATAATTCCGTTTCGTTCGGTAGCGCTACTCTTGCTTGAGGTTTTCACCTTGTGAGTATTTTGCCCGTTTCTCTTTTTGACCTGGGGTCCGTTTCAGAAAGGAGGTTCAACAAACTCTGAGCCTAACCCTGAACTCTGAGTTGAGTAACTCTGAGATGGGAAACTCTGGGTTACGGGTTTCAGAACAGGTGATTTCAATCGGTTCAATCATCACAGAGTTTGTTCACTCTGAGTTAAGCGCGTGCACCGCGACTTTAAAAAGCCGTTATCAATGGAGCCCCGATACCACGATTCACCATGGCAACAAGCGACAAGAAAAGGTCTGCATTTTTTTAGTCCTCTGGAGTTGGATATTTTAATGTGTTCATACAGCGAATTTGAAGCTGTTTTCAGGAAGAAGAGTAACACGGCTGCAGCAGCGAAGGAACGGGAGTCGGCATGGGAGAAAATTACTGCTCGAGTCAATGCGCAAGTATAAATTTATTTCATACATTTATGCAATCACAGTAATATTAGGCTATAATATTAAGCTAGCTACAGATACAAACAGGTGGAATGGTGTTAAGGCTAAAATTTAGTTCACTTAGATGCAATCCCACCTCATTATTTTTCAAGTGAAAATGTGCTTGAAACAAGTGGAAATTGTCCAAAAACAAGTTACTTTTAGGTGTGATTTGTTTTGACTAAAAATTAGACATTTTGACTAGAAATAAGACAAATATTCTTGGTATTATTATTATTATTTTTTTTAAAGATTTTTTTGGGGGCTTTTTAGCCTTTAATTGATAGGACAGACAAGCGTGAAGGGGGTAGAGAGAGAGGGAGTGACATGCAGCAAAGGGCCACAGGCTGGAGTCGAACCTGGGCTGCTGTGGCAACAGCCTCGTACATGGGGCGCCTGCTCCACCACTAAGTCACTGGCACCCCTATTCTTGGTTTGAGTTTTTGCAGTGTGATGCAGTCTGACATTTTGAGACAGTCAATCTACCTGCACATTAATGCTGTGAATGGACTTCCTATTCACATAGTCTCCTTCATTTTGTGAAGGAGCAATGATGGGAATGTGGGTTCCATCAATGCACCCTATCACACTGGGAAATCCTAAAAGAAATTAAAATAACTAATCCCTGTCTGAGGTTGCACCACCATGTCATTAACTGAATATGATTTATAATAAGAAATTTTAACTGATTTCTACATCATTCACCTGCAATCCTGTGGAACTCCTCCTTGATGACCTTCACAGGTTTATGTCCAGGGAACACAACAAAAGAGCTTAATAGACGTTTCAGAGCTAGGGACACTTTTCTCACGGCTCTGCAGACAGTGGCCTTACTGATATTTTCTGCATCTCTGATATTATACAGAAAACTCCCGTTTGCAAAAAAATGAAGAACAACACAAAGAATCTGGGTAGATGAAAGTGCACGTCCACGGTTGGTGACGTTGGTTTTGTCACGACGGATGAGTTTATGGATATAGGCTAAATGATGGACTGTGATGTGAAACGGTACCGTTCAAAAAGAAAATGTTCTGGAAATGATAATACGTCAATTCTGAGCCTGTGAATAATCTCCCGGCGAATGCGTAACTCCCTCCTCAGTAACACTGCCTCTTCGTCCACAGGGTCCTCCAAGAACAGACATGCCATGGTCGAAAAAAGTAGATTTAGAACTAGAACACACTTTAGGATCCGACTTTACCTTGAGGACAGATGATCAAACTCGCTGAAATCCGCGCAACACTAAACGAATGAATGAATGAATCACACTGCGTGTGTGGCGTAAGAGGGAGGAGACAGCTAGAAACTCGAGGTTCATTGAAGAAAATCTGCTCCCGACCAGGTTAGGTTCACAGAGTTAGTTGCCATAGTAACTGACACCGAGCTTCAGTTACCTCTCTTTCTGAAACGGGCTGGAGTTACTCCACTTTCTCTGGTTTAAGTTACCTCCCTTTCTGAAACGGAAAACCCAGAGTTTCCCTCATTTCAGGGTTAACAGACTCAGAGTTTTCACTAAACCTGCTTTGTGAAACGGACCCCTGCTCCACTGACTCGTGTTTTTGTGTCTGTTGTTTACAGTTTGGAGCTCTCGCCTCCTGCCACTACCAGGCAGCTCACTTCACCGTGCAGCTGTTTTTGTGTTTTGCTGCTGCTTTTTGTAATAAATTATTGTAAACTTTACTCCGCCTGTATCCTGCTACTTGAGTTCCTTTGGGTTTTTGCCAGTCTGTAACAGTTGAGACAGAGCAAAGTCATCACTGCTGCACTGTTGCATTTTTCCAGTTTTTCAAATATGTTAGTGTTGTGATCATTTTGTTTCTGGCATTATAGTGTTATTTCATTGGAAAAATGTGCAAAATGTGTGCGTATCTCTAATGAGATTGACCACAAACATAATTCCTGTGGTGTTAATAATAATAACATAATGGTGTTTCCGCCATTTTCTCCTCTGCTTAAAAAACTCTTAAGCCTCTTAAAAGTCCTCCTCCCTACTCCTAACAGTTTTTCAACTTAGGAACTTTTAAGGTCTAAGATGCTCTGGGAATAACTTATCTTTCCACGGACCTAGTCTTAACTTTAAGGAGAAATTCTAAGGAAATATCACAATTCTAAGAATGTTCTTAGAATTTCTTCACTAAGAGCAACTCTTAGCGCTAGGAAGCTTTGTGAATACGGCCCCTGGCGTTGATTCAGGCCAAATTTGGTTATGTGAGAAGAAGCAATTGTTCTCAGAGCTGGTTGTCTGGAAAAACAGGAAATAAGTGCTTAAGGGACAGGAAACACCTTTTAATGTGTATTGGAAAGTTGTAGGTGTGTCAACTGATACTGCTTGTTTGTCAGACACTATAAATTGTCATGATGAACTAATTCTTTGGCTTTCTTGCGAGTAAACCCTTAAATGTGCAACTCCACGTCTGAGCCTCTGTTATTTTAAGTCTTGTTTTTGATACAACATTCCTTGCACACAATCACACCAAATGTGCTGCTTGAATGACGCCAAATATAAAACTTGAGTGATACACTTGAGTTTAATCTCTTTATCTAACTCCGGAATGAAACTCCAGTGATGATGTGATGTATCAGATCAGTCTGATCAGCTGCAGCGTTTAATCAATAATCAATATCCAATAAAAGGCTGATTAAAAATCTCCATGGAAGCTGCTCTTGCGTATCCTCGCTCATCACTCCTCAGAGATCCCACCTTGCTCCTTGATCCTTACAGAAATAAGAGATTTGGGCCAGCCTTTAAGATGGCGCATCAGAACAACTTCCAATTTCAGCATGGATAAAGAAGTGAGGAAATATCAAATACAAGACTTGAAATGTACCCTTACTCAATCAACAGGGTTGCAACTTAAAAGCAGATTTCAAACTAGTGTCAAAAATTCAGACAAGACAAAATTCAATTTTTTGTACTTTATCTGGACAACACTGAGATGTGTCTTTACTTTTACAAAGATTAATTGCTCTATAAGTGGCAAACTGTTGTTTGCAGTCAATTCCATTGACTACAATTGTTTATTAAGGATAGAATTCAAAATAGTCAAAATTCAAGTTTTTGAGATACTTGAAATACAATGATACAATGAAATTTAGCATAGTACTTCCACCATGACATGAAAATGTCAGAGTGATGGATTTCATAATTACTGCCAGCTCCAAGTGAATGGAACTTTCTGCTCAACTGAGTCTACAATCTGGTTAAAGCTGCAAAGTCATAGCATGTACTGCTGACTTGTTAGGAATTTTTAAAGCTTTAGACTTTGGTTTTGTTAATTTTTATGCATGAGAAGAAAAAACAGGAGAAGAAGAAGAAGAAGAAGAAGAAGAAGAAGAAAGGGAAGAAGCAGAAGCAGAAGAAGAAAAGGAAGAAGAAGAAGAAGAAGAAGAAGATGACTGAAAGAGGGGCCAGTAGCAGCTGCTCAGCCTCTAATGAAATACAGTGAGGTCTAGGTCCAGAGTATACATTACTAACTGTTGCATTTCTGACCTTGTTGAAATAGCTCGCCCTCCCAATTGGTCCGACCTCATCAGTGTAGTTCAGGAAGCCGATGCTGGCCTCAGTTAAGCCGTAGCCCTCTCTGATCTTGATCATACCAAAACGCTTGATGAACTCTTTCCAAACATCTGACCTGAGACCACTTCCTGCTGCCAGCCAAACCCTATGAACTCTCTCCTCTGGAACCTGGAGGCAAGATAAAACTTGGATTATGAAACAGCATTTCACTTCTTTAAGAAGCAGTCCTATCTTTTGGAAATACGCTTATGTAGAGGGCTTGCCCAGAGTCAGATGAGAACATTTATATCACAAGTGTGGACTGTGATAGGGGTCGTATATGGCTTTGCTTTAGACAAAGACTAGAAGCACAGGAGAAGGGACTTGGACGACAGGCAGGCACAGATGAGTGGAGAATAAGTCTTAACTGGGGTGGGAGCTGGAACAGTGTGAAAACAAGTGGGAGGTTGAAGTTAGCAGGCTTGATAGGAGAACCAGCTAGGGAGGCTGGGGAAGCACAGTCCAGGGAGTAGGGTCCAGGTAGTGCCAAGTGAGGGGGAGGATGAGACAGGAGGGAGTGAGGGCAGGAGCAAGAGCAGGGGTCAGGCCAAGGAATGAGTAAATACAGTCTGTGTTGTGGTAGGAACCAGCAATTAGAGGCTGAGCACCATGATGATAATGACTGCCAGTTTGTGACCAGGCTTAATCATATCTAACTCCACTCCTTTAATGAAGCACACACACACAGAAAAAGGAATGGGGAGAGAAGCCGCCAGCTAGGCAGAAGTCGAGGGCCTTACAGCATGTCAGGTGGTTTGATTAACTGCATCGTGTTAGGAAATTTGCACCACTTAGGTACAAGATCAACACTGAATTGTTAGCCTACCTAATTTTCATCATGTCTAGCAGAATGGCCCAAAGTTAAAATATAGTGCTTTATTATTTTAGTTTTGATCTAGTTTTATGAATTAAGTCATATTTAATCAACAACAAACAAATACAATCACATGATCTGACCCCTTGGTTCCTGGTGAGCTGAACACCTTCTACGCACGCTTAGAGGCTATTCACACTGCACAAGCACAGCCACTCCTGCCAGCACAGGACAACCAGGTACTACAGCTCTCCACAGCTGGAGTACGGAAAGCACTGGCCAGCGTCAACCCATGCAAGGCTGCAGGACCTGATAACATCCCAGGGCAAGTCCTAAAAGACTGTGCTGAAGAACTGAAGGAGGTGTTCACAGACATTTTTAACACCTCCCTCCAACAAGCAGTGGTGCCCACCTGCCTCAAGAGCGCCACCATCATTCCTGTCCCGAAAAAGCCGAATCCTGCAGTTCCTCTCTGATTCTCGCCCTGTGGCTCTCACGCCTTTCGTGATGAAGTGCTTTGAACGCCTGGTGATGCAGCATATTAAGAAATGTCTCCCTGCAGACCAAGATCCACTACAGTTCACCTACAGAACCAACAGAGCCCCAGAGGATGCAATTTCCACCATGCTCCACCTCTCACTGTCTCACATGGGGCAGAAGAACGCATATGCCAGGCTTCTGTTCATTGGTTTTAGCAGTGCCTTCAACACCATCATTCCACAGCAGCTGGTGGAAAAACTGTGGCTCCTAAAGATCAACAACAGCATCTGCAGATGGGTGTTTAACTTCCTGACACAGCGACAACAAACAGTAAGGGTGGGCAGCCAAACATCAAAGTCGATCACAGTGAGCACAGGCTCCCCGGTCTGTGTACTTTGCGGCCATTCGTTTTTCGTTTTGATGTAGGTAAACAAAAAAAGGGAAACGATCCAATTTCCTTTTTTCGTTTTGATGTAGGTAAACAAAAATCAGGGAAACGAGTCGTCTCCCATTTCTCATTTGGAAATTGGAAATAGAAAAACGGAAAACAGGCCTTTATTTGATTTTCTATTATGTGTTTATTAAACACAAGTCGGGAAATAAAACACAACCATAATTCTTTCAATCAAGCTTGCTATGCCTTGACCCGTAAAATGTTCTTCTTCTTCTTCTTCGTTTGAAATGGCAGACTAGAAAATGGCGCATTACTGCCCCCCCCCAGTCTGTCTGTGAGTTTTATCCATGATGGAGTCATTTGTTTTGTTTCGTGGTGAGAGAGAGTGAGAGAGTAAGTCTGTGTGAAAAAAGCATACAGAACTGCATCAGGTTGTTAATAATAATAATAATAATAATAATAATACATTTTTGTATTGTTATTATATTATGTTATTTGTAATTATTATTGTTATTATTATTATTAACAAACCATTAACCAATATACAAAATGGTATTATTTGTTTATTAGAATGTGTAAATATTACAGTGTAACTGCAAATTAACCCTATTGATACTGAATATATTTGTAGCCTACATAA